CGATGGCAAACCATTGAAACAACAAAAAAACACTCCTGGTTTTCAACTGAAAAGTAGCAGCACCTTTAACACTGGGTAGTGAAAATATACAGATGATTCCAAGTTGTGCTTTGAGAGGAGAGGAGCAGATAGATGAAAGTTCGTGTTAGAGTTCAGATGCTGCCGTGTCTGTGTCTGATCAGTGGCACAGGGACAGAAATTAACCCTCACTTTTGGAAGTCTGGTGACAAAAACTGATGTCCAGGCGGAGAATCCAGCAGGAATTCTCCCTGTGACTCAGCAGCTGTGGCCTCAAGTAAAAGAAACTGGAGGTGGTGCCCACGGTGCTGTTACAAGAAAGAAGGGATGAATGGCCTCTCCTTCTGGCACTAGAGAATCTGATGTGATGCAGAGTAAAGAATTTAAGGCGATGAGGGAAATAACCCTGCAGAACAGTTCAGGGCCTATTCAAGGAAAGAGGGATTTTCACCAAATGATGATAACAAAACTCAATAAATCTGAACTGGCTATCAGTAATTTTAGATTGGAGATTAACAGAGGTTTCCTAATCACAAGGATAGGTTTGGAAGAGCTTTCAGTCAGGGACCATAGCAGTGGAGCAGAACTCTAGCTTTTGGCAAAAAAAAGTGTTGTGCATTGACATGGCATTTTTCACAAGCCAGATTTTGCTTCAGCTGTGTCCAGTGGGACTTATTGTTAAAGTGTAGATCAGATTTGATTCTTTTCCTTCTTGCTCCAAAGAATCAATGTAAATATTAAAGTTTAGTGAATAGCTTTACATAGAATCAAGTAGTTTTAAAATTAGATTTGTTTCACTATCTGATTTACAGCCCTTCTACTTAGGTGAGGTGCTAGCAATATTGCAGGTAATGCTCCTTCTAAAAGAGATTAGTGGAGCTTTAATTACAAGTGAAGAATGCATACCTGAAAATACTCACTGAATTTTATTTCACTTCTATTGTTATATCTTCATTATTGCTGACCAAGAGCTACCCATTGAATACAAAATGCCATAATCAGCATAAAGATGAACTGAATACTTTCATGTACTGTATTATTAATGGAAGTTAAGAGTAAGATTGCAAGTAAAATGGACCTCTTGAAAAGTTCATTAGTTCTTTAATTTGTCTGGGAAATAAATTAGCTGATTTAAAATGTATAATAAAAATAGATCTGGAAATACCCCAAATAATTTGCAAGAACATTTGATAAAAATATACTACCTAAGATTTTTAGTGTTGGAGCAGAACTGAAAATGGTTCTACACCATGTGTTTTATTAAAAATCTTGCATTTTTCAACATGAATGTAGCAGTTTATGATTATACAGTGAAATGTGTGGGAGGACATACAAAGCTTTTCATGACACTTAGCCCAGCCCTGGGCACTGGTCCAGTTTCCAGTATAAGTTACAACCATCCGAATATAAATTCTCTTAAAATCTTCAGAGCTCTTCTGGCATCTGCAAGTCTGTTGGACACCAGGACACATTTCCCCCTTGCCCACATTCCAGCAGTGGATCCTTTCTGGGCTGAAGAAGCTGTTTCAGGGTATTTTTTTTTCCCACTAGAAAATTCAAAAGTAGGGATTAATGACCAGAAAGTTGAATTGCATTGGTAACTCTCCTCAACTTAAAAGATGAACACACAGATGTGTGTTAGCCTGGCCTAGTGCCAGTTCATCACTCACAGAGGCAGACAGCAGTTCTGTAAAAAAACTAAAAAAAATTTCATCTCACAGTATCTGCTACCTGAATAGAAGAATTCCCAGATGTTTACTATAGTAAGCTTTGAAAAAAAACCCTGATATTTTAATGGTATTACCAGTGAGTCCAGACTGGCTTTACACTCTTCTTCTGTAGTATGTGGAAATTTATTCTCTTGATTAAGTTCCTTGACAGGAATGAGCACAGCCTGTGGGGCTGAAGATGCCCCCAGTGGTAAAGCAGCCAACCTGAAGGGTTAAAAGAGAGATTACAAAATTCCTATATTTTATTCTGGACCGTGGTTGTCTCTGTAGGAAACTCCCAAACATGCACTGGTAATTATAATTCATGATAGTCAAAATGAATTTTTGGGAGCTGCACGATCAACCAGAAGTTAACAGTGGTACTAGGAAAACAACATCCCATCCAGCTGTTGTTTTATTCTGGGAAGAACATCAACATCCCACTCCATCTATTGGTGCCTTTTGGGGAGAGCATCACCAGAAGACAGTCAGTCACAAATGAGCAAGTTGTATCTCGAGTTTTCAGTTGTAGGTAAATTTGTACAAGAACAAGTTTAAAGTTGTCCTGTAAAAACCAGCCTGACTCTTCTCTAAAGATAATAATCTGGATGATTATTTCATCCAGAGTCCTTTTAGATAAAGGTTAATGACACATTTTGCACATTCTTTAGTTTGTCAGAATTCATTGCCATTTTTTTTCCTTCCCCTCAATTTTGCCAACGATCCAAGCTCGGTCATTTTTCACATTAAGAGAAGAAAGAGGTGAGGGACTGAATCTATTCGACAATATTAATGTTTGTCCCATGGGATAGCTTTTATATTATAAAGTGGATATTGACTCTCATGGAGGTGAATATTAAGGTTTATCAACCCTTGAGGTATGTATTGACCAAGACAAACTAGAGGTCACTGCAACATCAAGAGTAAATAAATCTTAATGCTGTCAAAATGGAAAATCAATATGCATATTTTTCCACTTATTTTGAATGTCATTGAACTATCTGGAAATATCTCAGTTGTGTACCTGAACTTCAAGGTAATGGTCTTTTTATTACTGTGAGTAATAAAAGTCACCTAAAGACAAGTCAGAGGTTGGGCAGAGGTTCAAGTGAAACACTGCCTACTGTTTTTCCTTTCTGAATAAGACAGGACAAGGGTTCTACTTCTTTCAAAATATGTAATTTTTTATTTAACCTATATATTAAAGAACAGTACTCATCTGTGCTGATTTTCAAGCCAAAACTAAACTCTTTTTCAGGGCTAATTCACTGTTTGTCAGAAACCTTGTTCACACCACACCTTGTAGTTACAAAAAGCTGCACTGTGTCATTGCACATCTTCAGATTAATAAAATCTGAAGTGTGCTGCTGGGATGTCGCTGTGGTTTTGGAGTCCTGGACAGCAAGGCATTGTTGTAGACTTTCCTAGAAATAGCTTTTCTATTGTTGCACTCTGAGGTAATATAAGGTGCTTTTGTGTATGGATGTGGCAGGACACTATTGAAAAGCCATTGGCATTCCTTCAGAGCCCTGAGCAAACAGGAAGATGGATTCAGTTCTTGCTATGCAACCAAGTTCCAAATTGTAAATTATAATCCAAACTGAAAATAAAATGCAGCTGTATAAGTAGACAAATAGATGCAGAAAGGCAATGGTTTATCTTAAATAACAAAACATTTACTTCTTATTTAAAGGCTGGCGAGTCAAAGAGGGTGAGCCAAATAAATCCATTTAACATGCTTTTAAGCTCATGTGTGAGTAATTGGGTGAGGGAGAAAAAGGGATCAGGGAAAGGGAAGCAGAGGAAAGATGACCCTGACTAAAAAATGAGCTTCAATAGTTTAAAAGGTTAACTAGAAAAAAAGCAGCTGCTTCAGGTAACGGTGTGTAGGTTCATGATTGAGGATTTCAGGCTGATGGTAAACCATGCTGACAGAAATTGAAGGTTAGCTGCACACAGCTGACAGGGGATTTGGGTTTGGCCCAGAATTAAAAAAAAAGAGAAGTGGGGGAGAGACTTGAGAAAGATTTTTATTTTTTTTTTCTCAGTTATTTTGAATGAAAGCATAGAACTTCGCTCATGAAATGAGCTGGCTTTATGCCATCACACAACTTGTAATATTATGGTTTTGTTTTCAGCTGGTTTTGCTTTTAAGTGCCTACAATTTTAGAGGCATATTCTAGGAAAATATCTCAAGGTCAGGAGACACGAAGACTGTGCTTTTGCAAACACCTATGCACATGCTGCACTGGCTGTGGATTTTGCCAGCCAGAATTCTCCATCCTCTGCCTGAATCTCAGTGACCTTGTTGCAAGCGTGCTTGAGAGAAGGAGCTGCTGAAGTCTATGTTCTTGACATCTGAAGTGTTTGCTGCTTGGTACCTGAGGCTAAAAGTTCATTGAAAGTAAAAAATGAGCGGGTCTGACCTTAATTTGGAGCCCAATGAATGAAAAACAGTCTCCAGTCAGGCCCCCTTGGCACTGAAGGATTATTTGCACCTTTGCAGTCGGAGCCCTGGGGCTGCTCCAAGGCAGGCATGGCTGGCCTTGCAGCTCATGCAGTTGCCTCTTACTTCCTTGTGACAGCACTGTTGCTTCTCTGACCTTGCAATAGATGGTCAGAGAGCTAGAAAGGTGGTAAATAAGTGTAGTGTAACTAGGGAGTTATCTGCTGTCAGGGTCCTGTCCTCACCCAAAGACAGGAAATCATGACCAGGAGAAGCCTTAGGGCTTCACACACAATCTGGGACGTGCCCACAAGGCACAGATGGAGTCACATTATTCAGACATGGGCCTGAACTGCTGCTGCCAAAGGCTGGTCCCAGCACACCCTCGTGCTCAGCCCTTCTTGCCCTCAGCAGTGCTCACTCAGCAGAGGGAGCCCATCCAGCTCCCTGGCCTCTGGCAGCAAAAAACTGGGGACAAGCAAGAGGACTGGGAGGGAAGAGGGAGATCATTGCTTTTGTCATGGTGGGTTTAAATGGGAGTGCACAGGGGTTAAGGGTCCTGGATAACAAGTAAGGAGCATCCCATTGTGCTGCAGCACACATTTGACTCTACTGGAGCAGCAGCTCCTTGACAGTGTGCCATGGACTGACCCTGCTCACTCAGGCTGATGCTGAAGGAAGGAACAGAACTCCCAACCCCAGCTCCTACTCCTCTCTCTAAGCCATGCCAGATACTTTCAACTAAGAACCATCTATCCAGTTATCTGCACAGTTTAAATACAAACCAAGCCTATTTTCCTCTGTGTGTATTTTTTTTCCAATTGCAGCTTCTCCTACAAAGAACAAGTTACGTCTCCCTCGACTTGAGAAGAATCTGTTGAATTGGGAGAACTTATTTTTAAAGCCAAGTAATAAGTTTGTCAATCACTTCTTTATTATCAGCCAATCTCTGATGAACAACATTCAGACTTTAATATCAGCAAGGAGACAAACTAAAGAATGAATGATCAAGTAATAACATGTAGGAGTGTTTATGGCCTGCCTCTGTTTCTGAAGTGTATACACAATGGCCTAATTTAAAATCAGTGAATGCAGCAAATTCCCTTTGGCAACTGCAGCATATGGGAATTACTTCTTATGCTTTTCTAAAAGTGCACAAAACTCCCATTAGCATCACAGATTATATATTGGGGGGTGGAGGGAGAAGCACCTTAATCTGTGTTGGGCTTGGGGTGGCTTTTTTGTTGATAGTTTTTGTTTGGGTTTTTTAGGGCAGTCCTACCTGCTTCTAGACTGATTCAGATGGGTAACTATATCAAAACAAATCTCATGGCTTCATTACTGCACTGCAACAGTTGTTAGAGGAAAATATTCCTTCTAAAATTTGTACTTGGTTATTTTTCCAGTTCAAGCTCTCAACCACTTTTTGAGCAGCTGATTAAATTGTTCTTTTGTGGTAATACCTTCTTTCAAGGTTTAAAAGAGGGATCTGTCCATTGCAGCTCTTCTGTGCAGTTCAAGTACAGAGCCTGAAATATCTGAATAATTAAGCAGGACCTCCAGAGAACCTTGGAGGTGTACTGGCTTTGTTTTGTTGAACTAGATACAAAAAAGATTACTTTCTCTTGACTTCAAAAGTTAGGCAAATAAACTTCAAAAAAGTATTTTGTTGCTTGGATTGCGTCTCACTGGAATTTCCCATCGGTTATATTTTCATTAGCGGGGCACTTTTGATTCTAATATGTAACATGTGAAGGAAGGACACAATTCTGGCTCAATATTCTTCACAATTTGGATGTCTAAAAGAGTTATCTAGCCGGTGTGAGAATCTGAGGGTATTTTTCATTAAATGTGCTAAATAAGGGGAAAAGACGTTTCAATTTTTTCAAGAGAAAGACATAAGATTTAAAGTATATTTTCTTTGGTTTTCAAAACATACATTGAAAAGGAAGAAATTGGTGTTCAGAAGCCTGTAGCCCTGAGTGGCCAGCTGGCTACTGAGGTTCTGCATGCCAGAGCATGCCTCCCACACCCAAGGTGCCACCACAGGCAACTGTGGCTGGTTTAGACAGTGCCAAGCACATCCTGCAAACTGACTTAGGCAGGAAAACATCTCCAATGTCTCCACCTTTTCTGTAAGTTCTGGCTGAAATGAGTTTAACTGTGGTAGATACACTTCTCACTTATAATAATGCATCCCTAGCATTCTTCATGTTTTAATTTAGTCTGCTTTTGCTCATTTAAGAGAGTATCAGAAATTATTTAATAACTTGGGACCATCTGCATGGAAATTAGAAAAATAATTTTGCAAAAAGTGTATTAATTTGATGACAGGCTGATGGCATTGAATTCTCATACATTACCTGTTTCATCTGTGGGTTTAGTACCTTCTGAAACGGGTTTCAAAGCTTTAGTGGAAACATGCACAGCAAGCATTCCTGTATTTCTTTTAGAAATGAGGATCCTGACATAGAAATTGGAACTCCAGAGGAGGTTTAGTGAAAGAAACATCAGAGATTTGAAGACCGAGTCTAGCAGCATCACAAATTTGAATTGTGAAAAGCATCTATCTTCGCTGTCATGGGTCTTTCACAGGAATCATTTAAAAAATGAGATTCTGTTCACAGGAATTAAAGATCCGTGGAGTTTTCCAAAGGACCAGGAGCAGAGCATCGCATTCTCTGGCCAGGATTTTCTCTTCATTAAGTACTTGGCAGTGTGCTAAACATCCAGAGGTTGAATTCAGCCTTGCGGAATCTGGGCAGTTGTTATTGCCCATTTAATTGTAGCACGATTTGAAGCTCACAAATCTTGTGGTGTTTTTTCTCTTTAATTTCTTTCATCATATATTCAAATTAAAGGGCAATTATTTTCTTTTGAACTGTATATAAGTTAATGTTGAGGGTGTGGGTTGACCTCTTGTCCAAAACCAGTAATTGTCTTCATGTGCAATCAAATTGTGAATATGCAGAGTAAGGGCTGCTGCAGTAGTTAACATAATTTTGGCTTTATGGACAATTTTGTAAGGCTTTTCCAGACTCTCTCTGTATTTTTAATGTGCCTTTAGCAATGCAAGCCTGATCAAAGGGAATAATTTGTGCCTGTTTCTAAATGGTTGGCAAGAATTTTAACAGATATTTTGAGTAATAATTAATTAGGGATATGGTATGATAATTACTACAGAAACATAGGTCTTTTATTTAAATAGGATAATAATCATTGCTACAGTGAAAGACTTGTTTGGATTATTCAGAGAATCTCATTTCTCAAATACAAATTTGTTTTATGGAATTAAAGAAGTAACAAATGATTTTGAAACCTTCCATTGTCAGAGTATTTCATTTTAGTGCTTAGTTTTTGTAATCATATCTTTTTATTTCTGAGTTTCTCATTTGTTTCCCATGTTCCCATGGGGAATAAGTATCCAATTTTCTACTTTTTGCCCTCACAATAACTCCAGTACATGTTCGGTGTTGTTTCAATGACTCTGTTTAGATCGTGAGCAAAAAACAAGCTCATAAGAGAGTTGCTTTTCCAAGAACAACAGATCATGTAACTGAAATTTTCAATTTTGTTTTCTATACTTGAGTCTCAGTGTCAAGTCTAAATCTAATTATTAGTCTAAACATTTTTGGTAAGTTATAGTGGTACATTATATGCATTTCCCTACTGAAAATAAGGCATTATTATAATAATTATTTACTATTCTCTTCTTATAATAATGTACATTATATTAATGTATATTATATATAGTATTATAATAATGCATAGTATGTAATAATATTGTATAATCATAAGAAATTTAAGCTTCATTATATATTTATTTTTAGGCTCTTAAACTGCCAGCTAGGACCAAGCTAGAAAACACTTTGGTAGTGCCATTTTTGCTGGAGTTTACCTTTCTAGCAGAGCTAAAATGGTAGTTATCAAAGGTGCTGAAATTCTCCATCTGCAAAAAACTAGGACAAGGGAAATGCTGACAGTGTTAAACCATCCTGTTTGATAGCATGTAATACTTAGACTTGAATTTTGAGGTTGTAATCTCTTTAGAGCTATGGACTGCTTTGGAAGAAGTGGGAAATGGCAAAGAAGAAACTGTTAATGTTAAATGATCCTCTGAGTACAGTTGTACCTTCCTGCTCTAGTGCTTATTCTTCTCCTGTAAGTGAAGTTTTAAAGAGTTTCATCACTTCACTGCCACACCTGAACTCCTGGGCAGGCTGGGGCCCAGCTGCTCAGGGCTGAGGCATTGCCCAGAATCAATAAATGCATAAATCAATAAATGCAATAAATGCATCCCATTGTTCCTTACATTGGAATTGGCCAATGTGGAACACCCTCAGTAGAGCTTTCCCTTTGGTAATTTTGGGGAAAATTCAAAAGCTCAAACTAGCAAAGCCAAAGGTACTTATGAGTAGATAGTTCTGAAGATTAAACACGTTTGGTTCTTTTTGGTTTTCTTTTTGTTGTTTTGCTGTTTTGAATTAAAAATCCCAGACAGTTTAAAGGCAAATGCTCTGATGTCAGGATCATTGATAGAACCATGCTCCTTGGATTCAGAAGAAAACTACTTCCTCAGAGACCAAGGACATGTACAGGGTGAAAAATCTTCCTTACACCATTCAGGAGCAATTACTACATTGTGTTTTCCCTGGAATGAGTCTGCTGCCTATTTCCTAACCATTAAATTGGCATCTTGCAACATTTATGTACCGTATTATGAGCCATAATTTACATACCTCTTCCAAAAATTCCTCTGTGACTTGGTGCTCTGCCATTTTCTTCTCTTTAAGTAATAGGAATAAAGTAAAAAATATTTAAAAAAAAAAAAAATTCTTGCAAAATTGGTAGGTGGAGAAAGGAAATTAAGTAGCATTTTTTGGGAGCTACCACTGTGACCTTTAGCCGAAGGCTGGAAGGACAAAATCATTATGATCAGAAGACAAGAATTTTCTTTCAAGATCCACCTTAAATCTATAAGTTCTGTTTAAACTTAGATCTCTTCAGATGTCCCCTGGTCTTTGTAGAGTCAAGGTCTGCTCAAGCCCTCTTCTCAAGTGTTCATGGCCTTTTCTCCCAGAATCTGGCTGTGAGTGAGGAAGGAGTTGGAAAACGTGTCTTTCCTTTCTGGTGCACTCATGCAGGGAAGGAGCACTCAGTGTATCCCTTTGGACTGCTGGGAGCAAGAAGTGTGAGTGCAAGCACTCACAAGTGAAGGGCTGAGCAGACAAGATTTCTGTGTTCAAACATGAGCTGCTTTTTTCCCTTCCAATCTGAAGAAACATTTCTTTTTTTTTACCATGAGCCTCAAGCCTGAGCGAGGATGAGTTTTTTCTTTCAGTATCTCAGCAAATTTAAGCATCTCAATGAAAGAGCTGAAAAAAAGACAAGCCTGAGCAGAGAATTGTTTGGGTGACAGCAGTTTCAGGTGGCTGTTTGTGGGAATGCCCTGTTCCTTCAGAGCTGAATTCCTGGATCAGTCAGTTTTTTACAATTTGAGAGACAGCAGCTTGTGCGTATGTGTGGAGAGGAGATTCCTGGCTCTCAAAGCCTGTTATTATGAGGCCAGACTTTCTTTGAATGCTGCCTGATGCCAGTGCAGATGAAATCAGCAGATTGTAGTGTAATATGGTAACTGCTCACAGAAACTGGTGCGAACAGGGAAGCGGCAGCTAATCGGATTAAGGAAAAGTCTATCACAGCCACAGCTGTCAGTGGATTTTAGCAGATTTTTTTATCACTGTTTGTGTGGGAAAACACATGATTCAGGGAATCTAATGAAGGAGATTGAACTAATAAACAGAAGTCCTTTTTTATCTGATAGCTGCTTTTCTGAGTAAAGTGCTCTGGAGAGGCTCAGGGAAAGTTTTGATGCAACTCTTATGTAGAAGAAGAAACACAGAGACATTTTAGGAAGAGGAAAGTTGTAGAAGTGGTTGAA